TTTTCTAACGACGCTGAACCTTGTACATACGCCCTTCTTCCGGCATGGTCCTCAATTGTGGGTGATCGGAAAAATCCAAGATCATATTCGGGTTTAGCGAGTCAAAATACACAGGAATCGATGTATCACACGTCGCAGACATGTTTAAAATACATTTTTGATCCCCTTTGAGTCCGGGAAAGCTTATACACAAATTTAGGCTCTGAAAGATCGACATTACCGAAAAATTCGGGGGTGATGGAAAAAAACCGAGGTCATATTCGGATCCAGCGGCTTAAAACACATAAGAATGACTGTACCACGGGTCCAGAAAAATTTATACAAATAAATGGCATGCATGAAAAATATACTTCAAATTTGCTCATTTTCCAGGGCAAAGTCGCTTTCCCGGAAAACTGAGGGGTGACAGGGAAAAATGAAGGTCATTTTCGGACTCAGCTGCTCAAAATACATCGGAATAGTTGGTGATCATACATGGTAGATTTGGTAGATAACACGGTGATGAATGAGGAAGTAACTGAAAGAAACTCATATTTCCAATCACATGTTGTATTTTGCAGTTTTTTTTTGGCACAAAGGGATGTGCTTCAGTGGAAAGGCAGTAACTAATTGAAAAGCATGAAGGGGGAAATGATGTTGACACAACTTGAGACGGAATGCATAGTCACTCCTTCAAAATATTCTCTCTTAAGGAAGTACCCAATTTGTGGTTGACTTTGGGATCGCGATATTTCTGAGGATTTCTTAGAAAAGGAAGGTTGTAAAAAATGCTTCAACTGTACATCCTTCAATTCTGATGAAGAAGAGGATAATTCTGGTTTGTCATCATTAACAATCATCTGATAGTAATCAGTGTCCTAAGCAAGTAAATAATTAGTTGAAAGGTTATGTTATTTAAAGTAGATAATTTTCCAGTTGCCTCCAACTTCGTAAAGAACATAAAAGTGTATTAGTCGTTCACTGTAGGGCAAATAGGCAGTATTCGGAAGTTATTTCTGGTCCTCCAAAGTGCTTTTATTGTTTCAAATTATTTATGAAATTTCATCTTTTGATCAACTATTGGATTCTCTCTTTCAGACATTCCAATGCGTGGGAGGAGGACAAGCTGGGGCCGTGGGCATGTAGGACCACCCACCGAAATAATTGCTCCACAACCTGCACAGCAACCTCCACTGCAGCCTCTACCACAACCTCCACTGCAACCAGCACCTGCATCGATTCCTCCACAGGAGCTATGATGTCTGGGTAAGACATCGTGGAAATTACTCACAGTATTAATATTTCCCATTCCTGAGGGGGAAGCTAGGGTTAGGAATTAAAATTTGCACCGTAGATAACACATTTCGTATCACAAGGTTGGTTTAGACTTGGTCGGAACAGTGGAACTGTTGCAGGAACAAGTTGATGAAGAAAAATGTTACAACGGTGAATGAAACCTTCAATGTTAATGCTAAGTAAATATAAATGGTATGTGAATCCAAAGTAAATGCTAGAAAGAAAAAACTTGGATACTTGAGGCTTCTGACGTAGAAAGATTTGTTTACAGTTAAAACATTTTTGTTCATCACCTCTTTCCTGCAACTATCAGGGTCCGTTCTCTGAGTCGGCCAAGGCTCATGGTCAATAAGGTGAAATAGTAGAACAAACTTGAATGCAAAACCACTATACTTCTCCCAGAAGTTTAGGAGTGGTAATTTTAAAAAAATTAAAAAAGGGGCAGATTTCAAATAGAAGAGACTTCCAAAAGTAAGTATCTTTTTGCTGAAACTTCTACACTACTGCATTAAATTAAAATCTGTAAGAAACCGCTTATTGGTCATAATGTCAGCTTTTTAACGAGCTATAGTATTTTAAATTTTGTTCAGTAGAATGGCAGAAAAGTTATTTTTTTGTGAACCCACCTCACCACCTAACGGGTTTAAAATTCCATGTTGGTACATTGGCGCAGCAACTACTCGGTGTCAAAGTGCAATCACGATTTTTTAACATCAGACAGCCACAATTCTTAGCTAAAGGTTCCTTTTTTATAAGATCACCAAAAATGCACCACAATGTGGACATCAGCGCGGTATTAGTTGTATTTCAGCTACTTTTTGTGAAATTGCTTCACAAGCTAGGGGGCTTTCGTATCAAATCATAGAGTTACCCAAAAATCTCGTTCATCTACAAGGAGTTGTATGCTGAGGGGATTAATAAGCTTGTCCAACATTACATTTTATCTCACGTCTTGTTTAAATTTCGGACGGACTGGTAGCGTGAAATTTTTGCCCCATGTGGTCCGGAGGTGAGTTCACAAAAACAACTTTTTTGACATTCTGCTGAGCCAAATTTTAAAAGAAAAATAAAACCTTGCAAGAAAGGGGACATCATGACCAATTAACAGTTTTTTTCAGACCTTTATTTCATGCAGTAGTGAAGAAGTTACGGCAAAAAGATACTTTTATTTGGAACGACCCTCGTACATAAGTAAAGTTGCAATGATTACAGTCGAAAAAAAATTACAAGTGAAATAGGATGTGCACTTCATATTCCTATTTTCATATGTTGGAATGTAGTAGGTCCAATTCATAGCAGTTCAAAAAACAAATTTCAGTTAAAGAGGCTGGCAAATTGTCAACGATTATGATGTACTTGAGGGGAGGTAAGGAAAGACTCAATACATCTAGACTATCCACAGCACAAAGGCTGCCATAACTTGGCTTAGAACCTCATTTTCTCTCCCTTTCCTGATATTTTCTGAGAACCAGACAATGATACATGTTTGAGGGGTATTTAAGAAAGACAGTTCAATGTCTACTTTTTTGATTGGTGGCATTTTCCATCGTGAATTGTCATGATAAGCAATCATAGTTGGCAACAGGGGAAGAACTTTGATAATTCAGGTGCCCTCTTCATCGTTGCCGTTAGGGAATGATGCACGTCTGTTTTCTAAAAGGGAAAAGAGAATGTCTTTAATTTATTCTCTCGTAAGAGGAACTGTAGGATCAACATTCCTCTGTCAGAGAATTAACACTATTTAGCAGTTGCAAGGATAACATTTTAATTACAAAATTACAAGGAGTTTTGCCAGACCATTACTTCAAGAGGAAAATTGACGTGAAGTTTCTTTATCTGAGTTCAATGAAGCAGGACATTTTGGGGTGTAAGCTCCTCCATCTTGTGGCATTTTTGTCGAGGAACCTCTGAGCATTTTCAGAGGGGGTTAAATATTAGTCTCCTTCAGGTGCTTTCAGAGGATTAAGAAATCACTTTGTTCTTTAAGGAAACTGAAAATAGGGTTATATTTGATCTTCAAAATAAATATGTACAGGAGGAAAAAAAAATAAATGATGCAGTAGATTTGCAGCTGATAATTAAGTTTAATTGTTTGCACAGTCTCCTAAGTCATAGTTATTGGACTGTGTCCAATTGATCTTGTCCATTGTCTTTTGGAAGGAAAAATCACAAGAAAAATTGTAATTTTAAGCAGGCGTTGGTTCCAGAATTAGGTTTGGCAATTGAGACGAAGAATTTTTACCTCCAACAAATCCGTTATCTAAGTTTTCGAACTTGTTATCAAAATTTATCAGTATTTTGGGAATCTCGCCCCTTTTTGTTTTTCATCTAATCAAATTTTATCTGAGGAAAGTTGTTCAAAGTAGCGGAAAATCAAAGTTTTTTTTCAAAGTTGGTCCAGGAAGAGCTGAGTGTGTTTCGGCATTCCTTTTTCATGAGTGTACACTCCCTACCAAATGAGGTTATGTTGTTAAACAGGATTACTGTTTTTAGGGGTTATTGTAATTCTTTTAGTAAAGGTTCCTTCTTTTAATTATACTATTGAAAATTCGTGTTGCAGGAGAAATAACAATCAGTTCCGAAGAGGAGCCGCCATCAGCAGACACATTGAGAACTGGTAAGTGAAAGTATTTACAACATCGGAACTTGGCAACCATAAAAATACAGATTTTATCACTATTTTATCAGATGAATAAAGGAAAGAAAGGCACAGTAATTAATTTCAAGGTGTATTTGTTCGGATCCAAATTGTTGATGGGTTGCAGAAACACAGAATTTTCAGAGGACAGTAGACCAATTGCAAGTCTCTGATAGCGTATCTGCTAGATGAACCAAGCTCAAATTGGTTGTATCAAAAAGAGAAAAAAGTCATTACAAGAAGGAATGTAATTTTCTAGGTGTATTTTTAGGGCTGATCTCGAAACTTAGGTTGGGTTTTCTGGATCCTCACGGTATGCTTGGAAAAATCAAATTTTGCATGTACTCCAAAAAAAAAATCGCAGTTTACCACAGGAAATTCAGTTGTTTGGGAACTGAGTAAATAATACAGGACAGGGGAAAGGAAAGAAGAGCCAATCATCGCATCAACCTGAGTGGATCAGTTATCATTTTGTTACCATCTAAATTTATGTTGAATTGTGTGATTCTCGGATGTGACATATGTGTCTTCTTTTCTTTCCCCAATTGGAAGTAGGTGATTGTCAAATGCACCTTTTCAAAATCATTGCGAAAAACCCACCTAGAATCAGTGACAAATTTTAGGCGATCCGAAGTGTCTGTTAACCAGTAGCCTGATTATTGATGCTCATGTCAGCACAAAAAGACTTAAAAAATCGATCAGTTAAAAGATTATCATGTGTTAGCCTGCTGACAAAGCCTGATAAAGCTTTAACAATCAGGCTGTAGTGTCTCATGGTTGCTTGAATGAATTCAGGGGAGAATTACATTTTTGCCGGTAAATGAAGAGCAAAGAGGAGACTTGAATATCAGAAGTGACAACAAATTTATTAAGGATATTTTTGGTAAACAGGCATTAGTGCCATTAAGCCCATTTTCAGGAGTACAAGATTTCTGAATCCTCGTAAGATGGCGTATCCAATAAAATGAATGTAGCTTATACATGTTTCTGTACAATAGAAATGAACTAAAGATCATAGAGAGAGAATGGAATGCGAATTTTACAAAGTTTTCATGTTTATGGGGGAACATATAACCCTGATCCACTGTATAGTCGTCATCTCTACCCCTGCATCATCCATGCGTTGGCAACTAATGGACAAAGACTTCAGTACTCTAATTTTTCTGTTTAAAATGAGAAAGGCGACATGTTTTTAGTTACAAACCCACCCCTCTCAATTACCATTCATGTTGAAAAAAAAACTTAAATAATAAGGAACATATCATCTCAGCAGCAGAAAGTCTCTTGCCAATAAAAGAACTTGTGCATGTTTTCAAACCAAAAAAACTAAGAAAAAAAAATATGTTAGAAACCCGCACAGGGTAGCCATCTGCTGTTTCCCATACCCCTTTTCAAAGGTTCAGCAAGTCACAAAGGAATTAGAGTTTAGGCGCAGTTTAAGTAATGGAGGAAGTACATGGTGTTCAATCTTCAATTAGGGATTTTCTCCGAAATAAAATTTTCGGTATACAATCTTTTACTTTCGAATACTCAATGCTGAGGTTCAAAATTAAACAAACTCTACTCATTAGGTGCTCGTTATGTTATCACAAGCCGGAAACATTGACTAGAAAAGCATGATGATAGATATATGTAGTTGTGTCTACAGTGAAATATAATTATTGACTGAAGTTTACTGTTTTTCAAATTTGTGATTTCGAAATCACACTTATGTATTGAACTGTACGAAATTCCCTGATTAGTTAACTTGGACGTTTTTTTTTTCATTCACAGATGCAGTAGATTATACGGGATGCAGCTCTTGCGACAAGCCTGATAACTAGGTGAGTTTTCAATTTTTTGCCAGTACACTTAAAAATTGTATACGTAGTAAATCATTCTTTTTCCTTAAGATTTTACTCCTCCTTCAGGTTAGCTAAAGATAATCAGATTTTTTACAAATTTTGTTTTTACCCATCTTTTCAAGTATGGTCTATGAGGACAAGATTTAAAAAGTTCCCCGAGAAAATCTGCTTAAAAAGTTTTTCAATAGTGCAATGACCAAGCTGTTTATTATTTTTGTTGTTTTAAATTTTCTGATACTGAGGACACTTTTCGTATTCGTCAACTAAGATATGTTTCGAAATAATGCGGTGAGATGAAACGGATGCTACAGATACAAATTTTCGGAAGTGAGAACTTGTCAATTGGAAATGTGGAGCTTGTGGTGACAAAACGGTTGCAAATGAGGATTAGGTACGAAACTTGTGTAAATTTAATGATGATGGTATTATCCTCCAGAAAATTTTGAAGAGAGATTTCATGCATGTTTTTTCCCCCTTCATATCCTTGAAATTGAGATAAGAGAAGCTTTCGAAGGGAAAATGGCAAATTATAATACAAAGATTTGAATTACTAAAGGTTATAAGCCTTGGCCTGATATAATTAAGTCAAGTTTTCAAAACGTCAATGAAGTCCTAGACTATTTGCATTCCTCTAAGATGATGTTTTGAAGCCAAAGCTGAAGGAGGAATAAAACTAATGGAAGATTATTGAGTTTTTTCAAAGAGCGTACCGGTATGTCTGTTCATTGTCCAGTGGACTTGTGGATGCAGAAAACTTCATCCAACTAGAAATAGGCAGATGACAGTGAATGGCATAAGAGACACGTATGTTCTTTATAGGAAGAGAAAAAAAAACTTTTGGTGAGGCAGCCATTGGTAAAATAGAAATACTTTTTTGGATCTCAAGGTATGTGGTCCTCTTGACCAGTGATGTTTTTAATCTTTGGCTTATCATGAGTTACACAAATTTCAATCATTTCATGCAGAGGCCGCTCATGTCCATTCTTCCTGTCTTGAGTTTTTTTGAGTTGATAATACATTCGAGAGTTGAATTTAATGATGAATGTGGCATTATTACTTGTTTTACACTTTGATGGTGGTGTCAAATCTTGAAAATTATTATGAGCACAAGAAAACTAATAGCTGGAAAAATATACATTACAGACTTTCGCACATGACTCAATTATGAAATGATAAACGCCAGAAAAGATGAATTTTGAAACTTAGAATTATGGTTTACATAACTTGGCAACACCTCATAAGGGGCAGGGTTGCCACAGTCAGGGAATTTTATAAAGTCAGGGTAAACTGGGAAATGTCAGGGAAAATTTGTTGAATCTTCTTCATTTGCTTTCTATATTGGGTTTGATGTTTCAAACTACAAATTTTTGTCAAATTTTGTCTTCTTAGCTATTCGCCATATCTTCATTTGTCAGGGAATTTCACCAAAATGTATCAGGGAAATGTCGGGGAATTTCATTTTCTAAATTTTGTGGCAACCCTGTCTGATCGAATGACTATTACTTTAATAACCGTAACTTGCTCTGCTATTCCACTTACTTGACAGTTGATGATCATTTCTTTTCTCATGTTTTCAGATGCTTGAATCAGGCAGCCTAGAACACATGTCTTGAAAGAAAATGCCAACTATTTTCGTTCCTCGATGATTACTTTTAGACGAAATTGACGCTGCTCAAAATGGTTTTACTTCTCTCTTACTGCCTTTTTAAACAATAAATATTTTTTTTAAATTTAATGGTCATTTTGTTTACTTGCTAATTATAATATTCATTTACTAGTGTTTAAATACGTTAGTGAGTTGCTTGTGTAACACTGATTTTTGTTCCTTTTTTTGGAAACTTGAATGAATTTCATGCGCTCATGTAAACAAGCTCGTTCTTAGACTAACAGTGCAAATATGGCAAATTTCACCTAAGCCTTTCTTTAGCACGTTCAACCCATATTTTGTACTTGTATCCCCTTGAAATATCATAACGTTAGTGAGTCAACAGAGTAATGCTGATTTTTATTCCTATTTTCGGAAACTTGAATAAATTTCATGCGCTCATGTAAACAAGCTCGTTCTCAGACTAACAGTGCAAATATGGTAAATTTCACCTGAGCCTTTCTTTAGCATGTTCAACCCATATTTTGTACTTGTATCCCCTTGAAATATCATTACGTTAGCAAGTCAACAGGGAATTACTGATTTTTTGTTTTGTTTTCAAGAACTTAAATAAATTTTCTTTTTTCTACTACCTTATGTCTATTTATCATTATTTCTTTTTTCATACACCATTTTTTCTCATGACTAATATTAGTGAGTGAAATATTTTTTCATGTGTGTTTTAAATTCTTCCAGTCATTTATTGACTAATAATAGTGGCATTTTGTTCCTGAAGGCCACAAATTTTTTATTTCTCCCTATTTTCTGAATCTGATTGTCTTGAGATGGCTTTATGGCGAAAGTCTCAAAACACTTTCCTCATTTGGAATGTTTCAAGAAGAGCTGATGATGTTT